AAAATAAGTGATTGTTGTAATTTTAAAAACAGAATTTTAAAAACAATTAATATTAAAATGCATGCAAGAGTATCAAGAATGACAAGAAAATATGAGATTGAGTAAAAATTGTAAAAAGACTATAGCCAGGATGCACTTCACCTCCAATTCATTATTTCCCTATAAATTAGTTGAACACTAATGTCTTAGTGATTTCAACCCTTTAACCCAATTAGAATTCTAGTGTCCTAGTAATCCATCTTGAATTAAGCATTAAGCAAATGAATTAAAAGTCTGCAATCTATGTAAGTCTATGTCTAGGTCATGCACAAATTGTTATTCTATCCTTGTCCAGATTAAAACTTCAATATGTCTATTGTGAGTCCTAACCTTCAAAGCCCTATAATTAAAGTGACCAATTCTAATCAGGATATGGAAAAAATTAACACAGGCAGAATAAAACAAACTAACTAATTAAATTATAAAAACACCTATAGAAAATATAAAGGATTCACAACGAGTCCGTGATCTCAACTACAAAAGAAATTAGCCAGACATATTCATGTCTGACTTAAACAAATTTGAATAATAAAAATTGTTCATAAACGAAAAAGAAAAGAAGAAGAAGAAGGAAGGTCAATGGTCTTCAGTCTTCAACTCCGATGGAATATTGATCTCCAACGCGAGTCTCCAAGAATTCTCTCAATTCTCTGATCTTCACAATTCTCTCCAGCCAAAGATTCTATCTTCTGGGGCATGAGTCTCTATTTATAGTCTTTGTGCCCTTGCTTAGAAATCTTGATAAAATCTTCATCGTATATCTTGGATCCAATCTCTTCTGATACAACATGAGATATGTTTAAGAATTATCACGCACCTCCCGCGCTACTAGCGCCAGTTTCGCGCTGATAGCGTAGGAGTTTTATTCAGCATACAACAAGCTTGCGCTACTAGCGTGGTTCCCGTGCTGACAGCGCGGTTGGCTCGAATGGCTGGCGCTGACAGCGCCAGTGCCACCCTAGTAGCGTGGTGGTTCTGGATCAAAAAGTTCTTCTGGTGCTACTAGCGCCAGTTCCGTGCTAATAGCGTGGGGCTTCAGATTTGCTCTTCCACTTGAGCTTCTTTTTTTTTCTGTTTTCCTACAAAATTAGTTGAAATTCAGTGACATGGTATCTGATTGAGATTTATCAATTTAATAACAATTCTAGCCCTTTTTATCCCATATTAATCAAGATTCTTTCTCTTTTGACTTAAAATCATAAATATGCTGGAGGCATATCAAATAAGAATAAAGCAAGACTAACTCGAAACTAGATTTTAGTAATCAAAGGTATAATTAAGGGGTTTTCAAGAATAAAATTATTCAATTGGATGAATAACTTTAAGTTTTCTTATGCTTCATAGAAATATTATATTATAGAATTGTTGAAATTAGTCATAGGAGATTTAAAAACAAAAAAACAAAAAAACTCTACCTTATGAAGTTAGTTCAAGTGGAGGTAATAATTTCACAATGTATAAATTATAAAAACTTACTATACAGAATCAGATTAACCCATCAATCAATAAGTAAAAGTAAATTATATTTAATCGGAGTTACTATAAAGAACCAATTCAACCTAAAAACTTAAGCTATTAATAGGGCTACAAATAGATTATATACTTCTCTAACATGTCCCATCGTACAAAAACTCATTGGACTTAACAAGTGAAGGCTCACTCACCTGTGTTAAGAAACTCTACAAGACTTAATTAATTATTAATTAAATGGAGCGGAGAAGATCGAACTCGTGACACCGAAAGTCTACTAATATGTAAAGAGCCAATTTAACCCAAAATTTTAAGTTATTATGTTAGGGCCTTTTTAATAATTTATATTATACTCTAATACGCCCCTTCAAATGAGAGTTCACTGGCTTAAAGGGTGGACAATGCATACGTCCACGACTAATTATGCTTAAAAACTCCACAAGACTTGATTAATTATTAATTAAATGAAGGGCGATGAGGATCAAACCCGTGATACTAAGGCTCTAATACTATATAAAGAACCAATTCAACCCAAAAGCTTAAACTGATAGGTGATGGGCCTTTCTAATAATTTATATTATACTCTAACAATTATAATAATTTGTATATAATCAAGTGTTATCCAATGTAAGTATTATCTGCATAAAACTATTTTCAACAATGCTCTTGTTCAAAAAATAACCTTATACACAATTTCATTTGCAATGAAATTTTTAATTTTCTAAATTTTAGCGCATTACTTTTCTGGGATAACTCAAAAGAATTACCTGCATTCAAATATTTGAATCTTATACATGGAAGATGCAATTTTTTAAGCAAAGATTTTGTAGGCAAATACTTCTTTGATATTCGTAGAAATCAAACTTGGAACCTATTTGATTTCTGATTCTAAAAAATAAATTTTTTAAGTTTTTACAATAAAAAAGCAAAAAACTTGTTTGAAAATAATTGTTTTATAAAATGATTCCTTAAACAATAATTATTTTTTAGTTTTAAAAACTAAAAAAAAAAGAAAAGAACAAGTTACATGTCTCAAAATTATTTTTTGGTTTTATCATTTTTGCAATCTTATAATCATGAGATTCATTAATCGTACTTTCATAAATAAATTCAATTTTTTTTTTAATTTTAAATTATTTTACGTTGGCAATCTTGTAATTATAAAAGTTTATTGATGACATTCTTGTAAACAAATACAACTTTTTTTATAACTTTAAATCCAACAGTATTCAAACAAATTTTATTATTCTTCTTCTTTCAAAATCAGTTTTCCAAATTTATATTCAAAACAGTTTTTAAAAATAAAGAATAAAATCATATTCAAACAGACCCTTAGTTTCACTCTACCTTTTCTCATGTTTAGCCAAACCATTCCCAAAACATTATGTTCCCTATTTGTATTTTTAGAATCTAGTATACTCTTTGGAATTACTATTACAACATCTTTCTAATTCTGAAACTTTTTAGAATTAAATTGTCTATTATGAATACTTAAATTAATAATTATGGGTAACGTAATTAATTTTTTTATAAATGTATCGATCTTTTATACGATACTTTTACACATATTATATATTAATTTGAGTGAAAATTGTAAATATTTATCTAAGAATTTTTCTGCTGCTATAAATATACTTGAAAACTTGTGTGGGAATTTTTCAGTAGGTCAACAGAAGAACTCCATGATCTTGTGTGCTCTATTTCAATAAACTATTCCATGTGGAGCCCCTTCCAAAATGTCTCATAAGCGTGTGGTTTAGTAATGAAACGAATTGATAATTTGTTTTGGTCACGTAACTTTTGTAAAAAAGATTTTGTAATCTACTAACGGCTTGGTGGGAGCAGTTACTTTTAGAAAATAAAAGTAATTGAAGGTAAACATAATCTTTCCTTAATTACTATTTATCATTATCTGTGAAAATCATAGAATTCCAAAATCCTTAATACTATAGCGGTACAAGGTATGGGGTTGTTGATTTGTTTGAAGAAGATTATTAATGGAAAATACAACTTTAATCCTCCACACAAAATCCAGACTAAAACATGCAATTTCTATACCCATCCTACCATTATTTACTCGTTTCCCAAACATATCCTTATATATATATGCCCTAAACCTCATCTACAATGATAACATGACTCATAAACCGTGGCCCCAACCCCAACTAAGTGTATGTGAAGCGCTCTTTCTCTGGACCAATAAATGGCTGTAAATAGTTATTGGCAGGGTCTATATTATAATGCATCACAAGGGTTGTCTCAGTCTGTACCTTAAACCAATCCAAGTCATTCTAAGAAGCTTCATTTTGGACAATGAATGCACAGAACAAACAAGAGAAACCCACTTGAGCAATGAAACGTCAATGTTATTACAAGCCAAGGGAGAATTATGAAATGGCTGGATTTTCTTTTTCTTTTACTTTTTTTTCTTGTTTTGTTTTATTTTGATGAGAAGATACTTGTTGGTGAACCTGGGCAATAAGACAAACTGGAACTTGGGAAGGACGAATGAGATGAAGCCAGGTGGGGACAAATGAAGGAGGGTAAGAATTTCTTGTTGGATGAGCATGTCCCTTCTTCAATGCCTATCCATGCCTCCAATAAAACTCTAGACCCACAACCCATCCAAGTGGAAGATCATCCCCTCCCCTCCCCCCCTTCCCTTTGTCACTTAATAATATTTCAGTTTACCAAGATTCGCCCCTAATAAAAGCAACATCAAATAATAGGGTAGATGTATGTTGTATCAATACCAATCGTGGGACATGAAATATGATATGACACGAACATGACACTCTCACACATTAATTCTAAAAAATGCTAAATTTTGACATGTTAAGACACGTTTTAATATTACATAATATTTTTAATTTATGAAGTGTATATTATATTTAATATTTAATAATTTAATAAAAAAATGAAGCTAAACTTATAATATCCATCAATTTTGCAAATAAACATAAGATATCTCATATATTTATATTAAACTCAATAGAATGATAATCGTAATTTAACGAATCTAATAGTTATAACTAAAAATACAAAGCAATACAACCTTCAAATTCTTTTTTGAATTTCTGCAATGCGTGTTGAAGTATCAAAAAATGTCAGATATGACACGTCAGGTATTTTAAAATGTCGATGCATCATAGGAGTAGATTTTGATCATACATATTTACATTTATTATTAAAAAAAAGAAAGTTTAAATAAAAAGAGAGAATAGACCATGCTGAGGGGTGGTAGTGCATAGTATAGCAGCAAAGTTCAGGGGGGATGAACTTCACAAAATCAAGGTGCCCCCTCCTCATGTGAACCCCATCAACTTGACAATAATAAATGGGTCCTACCTCACACACAAAGCCCACAACTCATAGTCATGACCTTCTCTACTTACAACAGAGCATAGACCCACCCTCCTCTTCTCCTTTTTTACCTCTTCCCTTACTTGCTTCCATTCCTCACAGTCCCCACTTTCACACCATGAATCTTCCTAGTCCCTTACCTTCAGTTGACCCACACCATACCATAGCATACCATGCTATACCCACATCCCCATATCTCACCCCCCCACACACACACTTGCAAATAAATATATATTAAACTAAAACTAAGCAACTAGTTATCACCTCATCATTTATAAATTGTCCCAACTAAGCATATTTCCTTTTCAATTTTATGATAATAACAAAATAATACATTTACCTGGGACAGGTTCCCTCTATATATACTCCCTCCTCAAATAGCCCCTATTCCCACACAAACACAAACACAAACACAAACTCTCTTGCTACTTCACACTTAAACAAACCAACCAACAACAAACCCTTACTCTTCTCTCTTCTATCTTCTATCCTTTACCCATACAACAAAACAAAGCATTTTTTTGAAAAGAAAAAGAAAAAAGGAAACAACATGGATGGAGGTAGTTACATAGCTGAAAGCACCACAACTGAATCACTCTCTATTACCCTATCTCCGGCGACGGCCACGTCAAAGAAGCTTTCGCCACCGCCGCCGGTGAATAGTCTCTGCCGCGTCGGCAGCGGCGCAAGCGCGATCGTTGACCCTGACGGCGGCGGATGCGGCGGCGCTGAAGCCGAATCCCGGAAGCTTCCGTCGTCGAAGTACAAAGGCGTGGTGCCGCAACCGAACGGACGCTGGGGCGCGCAGATTTACGAGAAGCACCAGCGCGTCTGGCTCGGCACCTTCAACGAGGAAGACGAAGCCGCCAGAGCCTACGACATCGCGGCGCAGCGGTTCCGCGGCAAGGACGCTGTAACAAACTTCAAGCCACTCGGCGGTGGCGCCGCCGCCGATGACGACGACGACGTCGAGGCCGATTTCCTCAACTCGCATTCGAAATCCGAGATCGTCGACATGTTAAGGAAGCACACGTACAATGACGAGCTGGAGCAGAGCAAGCGCAGCCGCGGATTCGTCGGCCGGAGACTCAGGTGCGTCGGAAACGCCGCCGGTAACGGTCCGTTGTTTGGCGCGTGTGGCGGGAAGGCGCGTGAGGTTCTGTTCGAGAAGGCCGTTACGCCCAGCGACGTCGGGAAGTTGAATCGGTTAGTTATACCGAAACAGCACGCGGAGAAGCACTTTCCGTTACAGAGCGGAGTTAGTTGCGGTAGCGCGTCCGCGTCAGCGTCGGCGTCGGCGGCGAAAGGAGTTTTGTTGAACTTCGAAGACGTTGGAGGGAAAGTGTGGCGGTTTCGGTACTCGTATTGGAACAGTAGCCAGAGCTACGTGCTCACAAAGGGTTGGAGCCGGTTCGTTAAGGAGAAGAACCTAAAAGCCGGTGACACGGTTTGTTTCCACAAGTCGACCGGACCGGATAAGCAGCTCTATATAGACTGGAAAGTCAGGAATAATGTTAATGAGGTTGGATTGTTCAACCCGGTTGGACCGGTTGTGGAGCCGGTTCAGATGGTTCGGCTCTTTGGGGTGAACATTTTGAAACTACCCGGGTCTGATGCTAATCCTAATGCTAATGCTAATAATAATGCTACTACTATTGGTGGGTGTTGCAATGGCAAGAGGAGAGAGATGGAACTGTTTACGTTAGAGTGTAGCAAAAAACCTAAGATCATTGGAGCTTTGTAACATTACATTAGCCTTTTTTTTTTCTTTTTATATATATATATATGTTTTGTGACCGATGAAAGAAAGAATGGGAGGTGGAGAAAGGTACAAGAATGGTGGTGTAGTTTCAAGTTGCAAAGGTGAATTGTATATTACTTAATTAGAAGAAAAAGGAAGAGGCTGAAATTAGGTGTAACAAAACTGTACAAGAAAAAAAGAGGGAAGGATAACTGTTTAATTGTATATGTTCATGAATGTTTATGGATAAATCTTGTGTACTCCATTAGTTTTCTTTCTTCTTAGTTGTATTGTATGGGGCATGGTCAATATGGTTTCCAAAAATATCAGTATATGTTGACAAACAAAAGCAGTATTTTATGTGAGGTATAATGCTAAACAAGGTTGTGATTCAGGGAAACTAATTAATTTCCATATTAGTTTTGATTCATAATGAGACATTTTTTCTGATTATTATTATGAATTAAAATAGGTTGCTCCTACTGGCTCCTGCTACAGGAAGAGGGGGGACCCAGAGGGGGCATGGCTAAGAAGGTGTGAACAAGTTGATAATGAGACATTTGTCCAATAAAGAAAGAGCCTAGTTGGCAAGTGGGCATGGTGATTGTGTTGCGTACACTGTACATGCCCTCATCGCTAATAATCTTAAAAACCTTCCCTGTATGTTGCTTTTGGAACGGTCAACTTTACGTGAAGCATTGTTTATGGCATCATTCGGCACTACTACAGAATCTCGAACTCAGATTTTGCCCGAGACATGTTATTGGGAATGTCAGTATCATTTTGAAAACCACAATTCTGTGCATATGCTCAGCTCTACCGTTCATATTAGCATTGCATATTATTTCAAATTGTAGGTTGAAATTTGATGTAAAGAATAATAATATATTTTTATCAATTTTGTCAAGTATTAAGTATTACTTGAAATTCAATGCAAATTAGGTTAATTATCCGTATTCCTTTGGTATCCAACATGTTCTTATTTATTTTTCATTCTTCTTTATATTCTCCTGACATTTCAGACAAAGTGCTTTCAGAATAAAACATAAGATCGCGAGTAAATTTTATCGTGCATAAATCTAGATGTTAAGGTTGTGAAATTAGTCATAGCTAACTTATAATTATGTATTTCTAATGTAATATATTTATTTTTATTTTAACTTTTTCATCATTTTTCTCAATCAAATGGTTTTCAACTTACGACTTTAGTTTCAGAAGCACATTAAAAAAACACATTGAATTCTACCTACGTACCATAGTAATAGTTATCTATTTCTTATTTCTGAAAATACTAAAGTCAACACTGCTCTAAATATACATAATTATGTTGTTGCGATTGTATAGATACGTTAATAATAGTTAATCATTCATTGTTTCTTTTCAAAAAAATCCAGAGCTTCAACCATTGGTCAAAGAAAGCCACGAAATTAATTTTCTATATTATTATATAATTTTATTTTGGTAAACCTATTATTGAATTATTAGACATTAAGTACTGTATTATGTCATTATATAAAGAAAGTGCTAGCTATGGTTATACTAACGTAGGACTATGTATTAAATATTATAGGCTTCGAAGCATATGTAACCACCTGAGATTTAGTTACTTTTTTTATTTGTACGAAATATTCTCACATCATTTAGGTGTGAAACTAATCCTTCTTTGAATGTGAGATTTATAATTAACTATATATTAGCATAAGCTTCGGGATTAAAATTTTGCAAACCTAGTTAAGCAATTATTTGCCCTTGAGCCAATCACATTCCAAGTAAACTGTAATATACAAATAGTAAAATGTCTAGCAAAATCGGGAAGAAAGAATAAATAAAATTGTAGAAGATATATTCTTTTTTAAGGCTTTGTTTTTGTGCTTCGTTCTAACAAAGGCCACAAAATTTGTATAAATATGTATTGCTATGTACGTATGCAAGTAATAAAAAAAATTTAGACGTAATTGCAAGCTTATTAAAAGATATTTAATACTAAAAATTTACTATTATTTTGATATAATTTACAAGTGTTCCATTTATCTTACATTCCATACTTTAATTTATGGCAGTTGACATATATATGAGTTATTAAAACTAAAACTTAATCTTGTTTTTTTTTTTTGGGCGGGGGAACCCTATCATCTTCGCCGGTTATCGTTGACAATGTTTTTTTACTTAAAAAACAACGTTGACAATGTTTTAGTCAAACCCCAGATTATATACATATATATATATATATATAAGTAAATACGTAATTTGTTAATGGTGACAACGATACAAATTTTATATATAATTTGGAACAACGAAAATATTTTCTCATAGAGAGTAGATTATAATAATGTTATAGTACATATGGTTGAAATTTATCTTTGAACTGTAATGAATGATAAATTAGCATGCACTTTCCTTGCAGCTTCCACAAGCAGTTCACGGGATGATCATATCCTTAACAAATGGCTCATTGTTTTATTAGAATTTATAATATGATTTAAGTATGCAGTTCATATCCTGCCACATGTTACTTAACATCTTGCTATCAGAATTTATTTGTTATATTATTCTTTTGGGTAGTGTTTCACGCGTCCCGAATACCGAGCTAAGGTAGGTGTAAGGTGGCTTCCTGATCAAGACCGGTCAATGAGAAAGAGAAGATGAAGAAGATAAATGCCTCATTTGGGGTCCTCTGGTTTTTAAAATCAGTTGGCCATGGTAGTGGGCTTGATCTTGGGCAGGGTTGAGAATAATTCAACCATTTCTCTTGGCCCATTTTTCTATGTATTGGCCTGTTACGATTTTGGTGTTAATTTTGGGAGATAGTTTTTTTTTTTTTTTGTCAAAATAAAAGTGATTTTTACTCTGTGTGTATTTTGATGTAATTTTTGAAAAAAAGAACAAAAGTTAAAAAAAAATGACGCTTTTTTTTTTAAAGCCAAGATATTTGGCTTGTGAAAAAAGTCAAAAGATTGCTTTACTTAAAAGCGCTTTAATCTTCCTACTTTTATTATTATTTTTATACTGATGAAGAGTTTTCAAATTAATGGCTTCTAAGCACACTGAATCCCATGGCTTGAAGAGAGAGTAAGGGCCATTCGGATGAACTTTTTTTTCCTTCAAAAGCTGTTTGTTTTTCAAGAAAAAAAGCACTTCCCGTGTTTTTAGTTCGTTTGGATGTCTGCTTTTAAAAAAAAAGCAAAAGTCATAAAAAAAAGTTAAAAATCTACTTTTTTCAGAAGCTAAAAATTTTAACTTCTAAGAAAAGCAAAAGTCAAAAGACAAATATTTTTTTAAAAAAGTAAATATTTTTATAAATATATAAATAGCTTTAACTTTTATAAAAAGCACTTCTAAAATAAGAAAGAGATAAAAATTACTTTTTTGAGAAGCCGAAACAAACAGGCTCTAAATAGTGAGAGTTTGAAAGCTATTGATTTAGATATACAAAGGAAAATAAAGTTGATAAGTAGTATAACCTGTTGCATTAAATAAAAGGTTTGATGTTTGTCATTTTAAATGATATAAATTATGTCATTTTAAGAAAGAGATAGACACAAAAAATAAAAATCATAGTGGAGAAAGTGAATGATTTATTTATTTATTTAAATTTTAAATAAATTTTTTTTTTATATCATTTAAAATGACAAACATTTTTCCGTTAAATAAAAAAAATTATAATCCTAGTTTTTAAGCCCATTGTCAAAACTAAACCCAGCCAATTCTTGGTTAAAAAACAAACGGGCCAATCATCTCTTGAATAAAACAAAGCCCACAGGCCCACAGGCCCAGTCTATTTCTCCTTTGCTCTAATTTTCCATTCAAAAACCTCTAAACCCCTCTCATTCCGTTATCCTTTCTCTCTCTCTCTCTCTCTCTCTCTCTCTCTCTCTCTCTCTCTGCTGAGAATGGCGCTCTCTTCTTTCCGAGTTCACTGTTCATTTCTGAAACTCTCATCTTCCTTTAACGGCGAAGCCTCACCATCTTCGTCATATTCAGCATCTTTTATGGGTTCTCCGCTCACCCTCTCACGCTCAATTACTCTTCCTGGTTCGTCAATTGTGGTTTTCGGACCATTCATCTTTACTTTTAGAACCATAAATAAATAAATGAAGTCAAACGAAGACTTTTGTCATTATTTTCTATGTTCCAGGAAACCAATCACTTTCCAGGAAGCAATTTGTGGTTTTTTCTAGGAAGATGACGGGATTGGAGGAAGCTATGAAAATTAGAAGGTACCCAGTACTACATCTGTGATACAGTTAAGCTATTGTTTTTTGTATTCTTGTGGATTGAATTTGGAATTTTCAGCTTATAATGTAAGATAACCATCTGGATTTCAAGTACAGTGGAAGGTTCTAAGTTGTTAGTACTTGTAAAGAATCAATTCTAAGTTGTTAGTGCTTCTAAAGAACCAATTCAATCAACTAACTTAAGTTAGTGGATGAGGCTATATTAATATTTTTATATATCTCTAACACGCCCTCTCCCACGAGAGCCCATTGGGCTTAAATGGTGAACAATGCATATGCCCAACTATTTGTGCTAAGAAATTCTACAATATTTAATTATTAGAATGTGAGCGATGACGATCGAACCCGTGACACTAAGGCTATGATATCATTTTAAATGTAAAGAATCAATTTAATCTAAAAGCTTAAGCTAGTCGGTGAGGCTACATTAATAGTTTTATATATTTCTAAGAGTATTTGGAATGTGTTATCTATGTTACAGTGTTAGCTTTATTAGCTTAAGGGTTGCTGTAATCATTGATTTCTTTGTTTAATTTTTCTAGAAACTTGTTGTCATTTAAGGAATTCGTAATTCTCTCATCACCATGGTCTCTATGATGCTTTTATTAACTTCTCATTTCTATTTTCTTTGGTCACATTCTCAACATGACTACAATAACTTCACTTTTAATTGGCAGCACACAAAAGTGAGTGGGAAGCATGATTTAAAAAAATAAAATAAAATAATATGTGGATTGGATTAGGTTGTGCGGGTTGAGAAAGTTTCAACCTGCAACCCAAACCATTCTTTGCAGGTTGAGTGTTAGGTTGAGAAGATCGAATAGGGACAAAAAGCATTCTACCAAATTAGCTGATTTTGTTGCTTGAAGAAACCATTGAATTGTTATTAGTTGCATGTAGTTAGGAGGTGGTTAAACGGTTAGTTTACATGTGTATATGGTTGCATGTATTCGTGAAGTGGGAAGTTAATTAGATGACACGTGGTTAAGTAGGTAGCACGTTTAATAGAGTGGAAACATGTATATAACATTGTGGAAACCAGATTGCAATTCATTCAATAAAAATTCGATACCAATTCTCTGTTTCAATTCGTTCCTTCTGTTCTGTTCCTTCCTTAGGTTTCACTGAACCTAACATTGGTGCTTTCATTCCTTTCTCACGTTCTTGATTCAATGACGAGGGTTCAAGAACTATCAGAGGAGTTGCATTCCTTTCAATAGCAAGTGGAGACAAATTTTGAAGAACTTCGTCTGCAAGCAACACGACAAGCTGCTGAGACCAGAAATCAGATTTTGTTGTTGGTCAATCAGATGCAACAATTACATGAATCTGTAATCGCTAATCAAGCACAGAGGCATGACTCTTCCAATATCAATACTTCTTCTCCTTCTCACAATTCACATCGACCAGAAACTATGGAGCATCGTTCTTTGCTTAAAGGCGTTCACATGGAGATCCCAGTCTTCAATGGTCATGATCCTAATAATTGGATCTTTAAAGCTGAGCTTTTCTTCACTCTTCAAATGATTCCAGATGATACAAAGGTGGCTTTGGCTGGGTTGAAAATGGAAGGGAATGCTGCTTCATGGATTCAATGGACCTTTAATACAGGTAAAGCTCGTGCCTGGTGTGAATTCACTTCTGCTCTTCGTCAACGTTTTGGTATGTCTGGTTTTACCAATTTAAAGGGAGCATTATCAAAACTGACCCAATCTTCATCTCTTTGTTTTTATATTCAACAATTTGAGGCTTTGGTTAATCAAGTTCCAGATTTAGATGATGATCTTCTCATGAATTTCTTTGTTTCGGGTCTTCAATCTGAGCTCCGAAGTGCTGTCCAATTGAGGGAACCTATATCCTTGCATCAAGCCATTCAACTTGCCATGGCTTATGATGATCACTTTAGTGATTTAAAGAATTCATTTCAAGGTGCTCCAAAGAAATTTTTTCCAAAACCTGTTCAGGTGACTGAGGTTACTTCAGGGGTTTCCAACACTGCTACAGTTCCTCATGGGACTTCACAATCAATATCCAATCCACCAAGGTTGGCTTTACCAGCATCTAATCAGTTGAAAAGGGTGTCCAATGCTGATTTACATAAGAGGAGAGAGTTGGGCTTATGCTATACTTGTGATGAAATATGGTCTTCGAAACATTTATGTAAGAATAAATTGATGCTACTGGTGGGAGAATAGGAGGAATTACATGAAGATCTGGAGGAGGAAGAGATAGTTTGGCAGGTTGACAACTCAAGTGGAGAATCAAAGGATGCATCTCTACATACCTTAAGTGACAAAAATCATTTTCGTGCCTTGGTATTCAATTTTGCTTTGAGAGGTATGAATTTTTCTATTTTAGTTGATTCTGGCAGCACTCACAACTTCATCCAGAAACAACTAGCTGTTAACCTGTCCTTGCCTATGTCACATACACACAGAATTACGGTGTTTTTGGGGAATTGTGATGTGATGTATTCTGAAAAGAAATGTCTCAAGTTACCATTGTTGATTCAGGGTAATTTGTTTGTATTGATCTTTGGGTTTTGGATTTATCTGATATTGACATTATCCTGGGCATGCCTTGGCTGGAACGGTTAGGTAAGGTGACTCATGATTATATACAGAAATCAATGGAGTTTGTATGGGAGGGTAATTCAATTTCCTTGCAAGGCCATAATGATAATTCTGTTGCTGCTAACATGAATGCATTTCTCCCAAATGAGTGGGCAATGTGCAATTCTCTGCATGTACAACATGATTCCAAATTGCAGGTCACAAGCATACCTGAGTTGACAGAGTTGAAGACAGATATTCATCCTTTCTTGTGGTCAATTTTGCTGAAATTCCAGACAGTGTTTTCCTTACCTAGTGGTTTACCCCCATTCAGAGGATTGGACCACTCAATTCATTTGGAGGCAGGCACCAAACCTATCAATGTTAGACCTTATCGTTATGGTCATAGCCAAAAATCTGTGATTGAGAGACAAGTATCTGATTTATTGGCAGTAGGGTTCATCCAACATTCACATAGTCCCTTCTCTTCTCCAGTTCTGCTAGTTAGGAAGCAAGACAACTCATGGAGACTTTGCATTGATTATAGGGCCCTTAATGCAGTCACAATCAAGGACAGATTTCCTATTCCCACGATTAATGAGTTGTTGGACGAATTAGGGGGTTCAACCATTTTTTCAAAGTTGGACTTAAGAGCTGGTTATTACCAAATCAGATTGCTTCCAACCGATGCTCACAAGACTGCCTTTAGAACACATGAGGGGCATTATAAATTTTTAGTCATGCCTTTTGGCTTGACAAATGCCCCTGCAACATTCCAAGATGTCATGAATCATCTGTTCAAACCTTATTTGAGAAGATTTATTAGTCTTCTTCGATGACATATTGGTTTTCAGTAAAAATATTGATGAACATGCTCAGCATTTGGAGTTGACTCTAAAATCCTTACAGCAATATGAGTTCTTTGTTAAGCTCAATAAATGTGCTTTTGGTCAGACAACTATTGAGTATTTGGGCCATGTGGTAGATGCAAGTGGTGTGTGTGCTGATCCAAAGAAGATCTCAGCCATGCTTCAATGGCCTATTCCCAGGAATATTAAACAATTAAGGGGTTTCCTTGGCCTTAATGGATATTATAGACGATTTGTCAAAGGATATGCTTCCTTGGCTCTTCCTTTAACCAACTTATTAAAGGGATCTGCTGTGTTCAAGTGGCCTCCAGAAGCTGATGAAGCCTTCTTGAAACTTAAGCAGGCTATGTCTCAAACACCAGTGTTGAGGTTACCAAATTTTGAGGAAATGTTTGTCTTGGATACTGATGCCTCGAATCAGGGAGTAGGGGCTGTGTTGCTTTAAGGTGAGCACCCTATATCATATTTCTGCAAAAAGCTAGGTCCGAGACTAGCAAGTGCTTCCACTTATATTAGAGAGTTGTATGCTATTACTACAGCTGTTAAACGTTGGCGCCAATATTTGTTGGGCTCCAAATTTATAATCAGAACGGATCATAGAAGTATCAAGGAACTTCTCACTCAAACTATCCATACAGCTGAGCAACAGAAGTACTTGTGCAAACTGATGGGTTATTCCTTTCACATTGAATATAAACCAGGCCATACCAATACAGTAGCTGATGCTTTATCCCGTGTATTTGATGAGGATGCTGCCTTGCGAGTCTCCATCTCTGAACCTGAGTTTGACCTCCTTTCTGAAATCAAACATCAGAATTTACATGATCTTCAATTATTACAGATTCACCAAAAGTTAAGAGATCATCCTAATAGTGATCCTGATATGTTGCATCGAGAGGGAGTACTTCTGTACAAAGGTAAATACCTTCTTAGTTCTTCTTCATCATTAATTCCTGTCTTAATCATAGAGGCCCATTCTTCATTAATTGGGGGGCATGTGGGTGTATTAAGGACCTACTTGAGGTTGTCAGCTACATTCCATTGGTCGTCTATGAGAAGAGATGTTAAGCAATTTGTCCAAAATTGTCACATTTGTCAACAAGTGAAATATGAAACATCTAAGGTGGCAGGGTTGTTGTAGCCTCTTCCAATTCCAGAAGGTGTTTTTGAAGAACTTTCCATGGACTTCATTTCTGGATTACCTCCATCAAAAAAGGCTTCACAACTGTCCTAGTTGTTGTTGACAGATTGTCTAAGTTCGCTTATTTTGGTGCCTTGCCAAATTCTTATACAGCTTTTACAGTTGCAAATTGTTTTGTGAATTGGTGGTACGCATTCATGGTTTCCCTCGATCGATTTTGACTGATAGAGATCGCATCTTCTTAAGCAAATTTTGGAGCCATTTATTCAAGTTAAGTGGTACTACTTTAAGGACAACTTCTTCATACCATCCACAATCTGATGGTCAAACAGAAGTGACCAACAGATACCTTGAACAATATTTGCGTTCATTTTGCTATGAACAACCACGTTCCTAGTGCAACTTTTTGTGTTGGGCCCAATACCATTACAATTTAGTCATTCACTCTTCTATTGGCATGTCTCCTTATCAGGCTGTTTTTGGGAAACCTCCGATCATGATACCCTTCTATCCGAGGGGAATGATTAAGTTAGAAGCTATTGATACAATGCTGCAACAGAGAAATGAAGTTTTAGCTCAACTCAAGCTCCACCTACAGAGGGCTCAGAACCGTATGAAGGTTCAGTTTGATAAGCACCACAAGCAGCGTTCCTTCAATGTAGGAGATCAAGTCTGGGCCCGTTTACAACCGTATCGGCAAGTGACAGTTGAGAGAAGAGCCAATCATAAACTTGCTAAGAGATTCTTTGGTCCTTTTGAAGTTCTTAGGAGGTTGGGAGCCACTACATATGAATTGAAGCTGCCTTCAAGGAGTCAAATTCATCCCGTGTTTCATGTATCACAGTTGAAACCTTATTTGGGACCTTTGCCAATTGTACCAAATCCACTGCCTTCTTCAGCTGTTGATAACCGACCTGTTCAAGTGCCAGTAGCCATCTTAGGCATGCGTCCTGTGTCATGCCAAGGGCAACAACAGCGTGAGTTTTGGTTCAATGGTCGAATACGGTTCCTGAAGATGCCTCGTGGGAGAAAGAACAGGAATTGCGTCACTGTTATCCATCTCTCGACCTTGAGGACAAGGTCATTGTTGAAGGAGAGGGGAATGTTAGGCTGAGAAGATCGAATAGGGACAAAAAGCATTCTACCAAACTAGCTGATTTTGTTGCTTGAAGAAACCATTGAATTGTTTCAGTATTAGTTGCATGTAGTTAGGAGGTGGTTAAACGGTTAGTTTACATGTGTATATGGTTGCATGTATTCGTGAGGTGGGAAGTTAGTTAGATGTCATGTGGTTAAGTAGGTAGCACGTTTAATAGAGTGGAAACATGTATATAACATTGTGGAAACCAGATTGCAATTCATTCAATAAAAATTCGATACCAATTCTCTGTTTCAATTCATTCCTTCTGTTCTGTTCCTTCCTTAGGTTTCACTGAACCTAACATTGAGTTTTTTAAATCTAACGGCCATCTGTGGGTCGGGGTTCAGTCAAAAAAACTCATGGGTTTGAAGGTTTTCCCAACCCAACGAACACCCGTATATCTGATATTCTGAATTTGTATTTTATATGCTAGATGCTGACTTGTAATTGCATGGCGTGCTGTACGTGGGTAATAAAGTATTTGATAGATCTTTCTGGGTTCTCAATTTATACATACAATTGAATTATGATGCACTGTGAATATTGTTGCTTGAATAATCCTGTACATAGGTTTACAATATATAGACTAATGTTAATAATTACTTTCCTAATAAAGAGCTAATTCCAGTGAAACAAATCATTAGTAAACTAGACCTATAATCTGTCTAATAAAAGGGAAAATAAATCAATAATAATTACACAATTATACATTCTTTATTTACAACATATGTACAAGTGTAAGTAGGCTTTAGAAGTTTTCCAGTTACATGCACCTGATAATCTAAATTTGTAGTTTATCTATTAGATGTTGAATTGTAATTGCATGTGCAGTACATGGGTAATAAAATGTTTGAAAGATCTTTCTTCTTTTATCAAAATATTTGAGATCTCAGTATTGCACATTTTTTCTTCTTTTGTTTTCTCCTTATCTGTTTGACAACATGTAGGTGTCTTATCATTTAGATATTGGAATATAGGGGATAGATAACAAATCATCTATTTATCCCTCCCTCCTTTCCTATCTTCTTTGCCAAGCAATATCAATGTGCTTGCTTCAGAAAATATATACTCAGCTAACTTCATTACTCTTGCATTTGCTTTCTATTCTCCAAATAAAGGTTTATTTTTTATTTAGAAGTAGAAAGTGTTTATGCAACTTTTAGAAAGATTCTTACCAAATGTCTGGTCATATGAAGAGAACGTGAACTTGAAGTTGTGAAAAAGGATAAAAGTAGGCCCCCATTAAGGCGTGGGAGAGTATCACAATATCTCCCTGTCCCTGATCACATACCAAGGCCTCCTTATGTAGGTTCAAATATACTGCCGGAAATTGCAAATGAGTATCAAATTCATGATTCTGAAGGTATAGCTAAAATGAGAGCTGCATGTGAGCTTGCAGCACGTGTCTTAAACTATGCAGGGACTTTGGTTAGGGTAAGATTTCCTCCTTCTAGCATACTTCTTATGTCATTTATTTATCTGATGTTCTCCTCTTGCAAGATAAAGGTCATTATCATTTTTTTAGTGATTATTTCTTCATAATTTAGCACTGCTCGACAATTTTCTTTGTATGGTGCCTTATGGTGGTGTTTTTTTTTATTATATTTGATATGAAGGGCAAGGATTTCTTCTTGTACTCCGCACAAGTGCTAATCATCATAATTATTTTATTTTATCTGATGTTCTCCTCTTGCAAGATAAAGGTCATTATCATTTTTTTAGTGATTATTTCTTCATAATTTAGCACTGCTCGACAATTTTCTTTGTATGGTGCCTTATGGTGGTGTTTTTTTTTATTATATTTGATATGAAGGGCAAGGATTTCTTCTTGTACTCCGCACAAGTGCTAATCATCATAATTATTTTATTTTTTTCCTTTTTTGCTGGAATCAGTAATTACAAACCATAGGTTTCATATTAATATATTAATATAAATCAGCCTCGATCATCATAATTATGTGTTGCTACGTTAGCATGTTGGACATAATTCTTTAAGAATTAATATATAGTTTCATATTAATTACATCTGTCTTTAAGCACCGAGTATATTAATTTTAAAAAAGGATTAATATGTTGGACATACGTAATTCTTTAAGAATTAAAATATAGTTTTTGCAATATGAAAGAATAATGTATATGTTACTAAATTTTAATCGACTTTAAGAATGAAAATATACTTTGTATCTTTATGCTAACCATGAATAATTAGGAATAGATAAGGACAACAACCTTCTCCTATCACATGGAGGGAGATGAAGGATAAGTCTTCCCAACAATCCTAAAAGGATTAGAACTCAACACTTCCTGATAACCCATCTATAAATAAGTGGTCAAGTCTACCAAGTAGAATTCTCATATTTTTTTATTCTGAAAATTTAAAAATTATTTTTGGAAATAGAATTTTGATTCCTTACTCTATTGAACAAATTTTTGCAAATAATTTTGAGATGGCTAAAATTAAGAGGATTCTTATTAGCAAACTCCCCCAAATTACTGTCATTAATTGGCCCCAAAACATTCACAAGCAATCATTATTTACAGTTCAATGGAGCCTGATGCGAGTAACAGGCATGTTGAACTATAAAGTATCCAAATTTTCCTTCTCTTGGTCATTCCCTTATTCTCTACTCAACCAAACATGGTAAAAAGGGAGTTAAACTAAAGTCACATTATGTCAATATGATAGTCAAATAAAAGATGATGTGGTGTCTGCAATTTATGAATCACATTAATGTCTATAATTAGATATCATTAAAGACAAAATCATCAGCGTGGTAACAACATCACGCTGATGTTGGCGGACTGGTAAGAACATCAGCGTGCTGAGAGGTAAGCCTGTATTGCCAATCGGTAAACTGCTTCCGTGTGAACTATTTAAGGGACCCCGTCCCAACAATTTCATCATGTATTACCTCTAATAACTAATCAACATAAATTATTAGATAAACACATCCACTAGATGAAGTATGTCAATAGAAGATTGAATGATCAATTTCATTTGGTGTCAACCCAAACTCCTTTGCAACCGTACTGAATTTCACCTATCTAGCTATTTAAATTAGTGGTGGTGTAGTGGCAAAACTCAGATGTGACAACTTATCCTTATTGTTGTTAGATGAAACACGAAATTTGCAATTGTAAAAGTATTAGATAAATATCTGAAGATGTTAAAACTTTGGTGGTCTGGTCCCTTATCCTCAAACTTGTGGAGTAATATGCCTTTACTTTGGGGTGTTGAGGGAAGTGAGGAAACTTTGCACTCTTTTTAACAGTAGGATGCAATAATTAGTTGCATTATGCAAACCAGATATATGAAAAGTTTGATGAGTTAAGAACATTTTTTGATAGTGAATGTTTAAGAGCTTGCAAGTTACAACCAATAACATTTGGAGTTTTATGTCCATAACCTTGTTTGAATGTTATTTGATAACCCAAATGCCATCATTTTGTTCTTTGGGTTTGGTATAATAATTTACTTTGCCGTGCTTTTTTATCTGACTGAACTATGGTTTTGCCAGCCGTCTGTAACAACTAATGAAATTGATAAAGCAGTGCACCAGATGATAATTGACGCTGGTGCTTATCCCTCACCCCTTGGCTATGGTGGATTTCCAAAAAGTGTGTGCACATCAGTTAATGAGTGCATGTGCCATGGAATACCTGATTCTCGGCAGTTACAGGTTTTGCAAGCCTTAATGTATGATTTATCCTCGGTATGCATATTACGCATAATTGATGACAATTATCTCTTTTGCAGAATGGTGATATTATTAACATTGATGTGACAGTCTACCTTAATGTATGCTTCTCACTTCTTACTGAAATTTTATTTAGTTTTAAGTGGGTACAACAATTTCCGGCTTAAATTAATGTCTTCTACAAATTACAACAGTGTTTGTATGTCTACTTTATTTCTGTATTATAATGATACATTTCTGAGATGTTTTATCATTTCCCTTTATCCCTATAAATCCGTTGTTTGTATGGCATTTTGACACACTCTATGCACTTGCTGTATATCTGCTAAACTTCATAAAAATCATCTCCAACTATATTTTCACCAGGCATTCTTGTTGTGTGTTAAGGAATATAATTTAGTGTTAAGTGTTTAAGTAATTACTAGCATACATATCAATTATGACATTTGGTGCTGCGTTGTGTCACGTGGCCTCCCCATGATTTGAAGTGCATCATATCCCATTTTGATGGAGTGGCCATCATGCTTGAAATTGCGGCGTCATGGTCACTGCTTCCATCTGGGGTGAAAATACCACTTTTCCTCTCTTTTGTCGTGTCCCGAATCACACAACGTAGGGCCAAACAGTTCAAGGAAGGCCTGAATAACTTTCAGGACTTATCTACTCAAGCAAAGCGGGGAGATTCGACACAAGACTTAAGCATCGTTCAAATCATTAGTGTGGCTGAAGATTTCGATTTCAAATCAACGGCCAGACTGTATCTTTATTTCATTAATTAGATCCGGACCCTAAATTAGTAGGGTTACTTCAGTTATTGCTTCAACGAACCAAATTGCATCTTTATTTCATTAATTATTTTTATTGTTTTTAGTGTTAATGACCAAGTGATCGTATGCCCTTCTATATGTGGTGTTAGGGATATCATGGAGACACATCAAAGACATTTTTTTGTGGGGAAGTCAGTGATGCAATGAAAAACCTTGTTAAGGTAAATAATTGTCTGCTGATATTTGTGGGGAAAAAGAAACTTACGTATTTTTATTGTTTAGATTATAGAATGGGCTGTACTTTGTTGAAAGCATACTACTCTATATATTTGCATTTTCTGTCATACTCATACATCAAATTTGATTCCTCATTAAGCAATGTCAGTTGTGCAATTATTTAGATTATTCATTTAGCAAATGCTTTATCATTGGAAGGTAACTGAAGAGTGCTTGGAGAAAGGAATAGCTGTTTGCAAGGATGGAGCTACTTTTAGGAAAATTGGAAAGAAGATCAGGTAAATTTTTGTTATATCGTACTGAAAAAAACATAGCTGTTCGTAAATTTACTAATGCCAGCATTGTTCATGAATTGCTATTGAAACTTCATTTCCTTTAATTTGTAGAACTGGACTTAGCTTTCCTACTGAATGAACCCATTAATATAATATGTATAACAAGGTATTCTTCTTGCAACAAGCTGCAAGAGAAGATTTATGTGCTGTATTAACATTCAGGAGCCATCTTTTAAATTGTCAAACACTGTTCTGAAACAAGCTCCAAGTACAACAACGGATTAAATTTTATTGTATGCATTACTCAGCAGACCCTTATTAGAGAAACAACCAGGAATAAATATTCCTAGGCACAGGGCAATAAAGAAGTAATAATCACCGAGTCTAAATCACTTACAATGCAGCAACAGCTCACAATCTTGATTTACTTTCTTCTCAACCTGTCAATTTTCATGTGGTGTTCATTCAAAGAAGGCTACCTTAAATGTAAGTCTACTGTCTACCTCTCTACACAACCCTCTGAGAGGAATCCAAATATCTAAAAGTTGCCTGGTTTGTGGTCATAAAATGAATATTATGCAATTCTGTTATGGATCCGTTTGTTAAAGCTTTTTAAAGAGTGCTATATGATATAGCATTTTTCAGAAGCTACTATTTTTAGCTTCTTAGAAAAGCACTAAAACAGCTGTTTTGATAGCTTTCTTATATAGATTTTTAAGCCTTGCCTTTGCTTTTGATACATTATCTCAGTGAGCATGCTAAAAAGTATGGCTATGGTGTAGTGGAGCGTTTTGTTGGGCATGGTGTGGGAACAGTGTTTCATTCTGAGCCAATTATTTTACATTACCGTAAGTGACGTATCAACTTGTATAACTTCATCATATTGCTTTTTCTATCTTAACTTTGTCTAAAATGCGAAACAAGACCTGTTAAACTGCACATTTATAGCTTGGTTTGCTTAAGATTAAATGCTAACAATGACTACTTAAACTGGATTATTCATAATATTGTGTTTTACCTGGTACCTTAGTTGCTTGGTAGTGCTAAATTTTCACCTTAAACTTGGAAGACCTTTTGATTTTTTATGTTGACAGTATCAGATTCATTTGAAGTTTTTCTGTTTTGTTGAGATATATAAAATCATTAATGTAGCATCACCCAACAGCTTAAGCTTTTGGGTTGAATTGGTTCTTTACATGGTATCAGAGCCTCATTACCCGGGTTCGATCCTCACTGCCCCCCACTTTCTGTATAGTGGAATTTCTTTCTTCGCACAGGTAGGTGGGCCTGTGCATTGTCCACTCTTCAAGCCCAGTGGGCTCTCGTGTGAGGGGGCGTGCTGAGATATATAAAATCATTAATGTAGCCTCACCCAAAAGCTTAAGGTGTTGGGTGAGGAATATACATTCTTACTTTCAAGTTGGTACCATAGCTTATGTTCTGGGAAACCTCTCGCTTCCGCATAAAATCTTTATCTCGCCGTGCATCATACCGGCAACCCTTTTTTAGCCCTAACCCTTAATTAGTCACCAAATATTTATCCTCAGCCTTAAATAGTCAGAAACCAGCCTCCTCAACCTTGAATAGTCTAAAATCAGCCTCCGTTTGCCGCCAGAACCGCCATCTGCTACTGTTCACGGTCACCGGAGAACTTTTCCGGAGACGTTTTCAACCGAAAAACCTGCGATCAGGCTCTCCTTCCTCCGGCGACCGTCTTTGTGGAAGGCCCATCACCGGTGGCCTTCTCACGCGCCCTCACGCGCAGGTAACCTCCTCTGCGCGTGGTGCTCACGCCCCACCTCTCACCGACGCGTGAGCACTGTTCTGGTGACTTTTTCCGGCCATTCCAGGACAGAACAACTCTCCTTCCTCTCCTCTTTCCAGATCTGGTCTGCATTCATTGTGGGTCTCGTCCGTTCAGAAGATATCAATGATTCTTTGCTCTCCGTTCATTGTTCGTAGTACTGGACATCTTTATTTAATTTTGCGTGATTTCTTGCAAATCTTTATCTGTTTTTCTGGTCATCTTTATTTAATTTTGATGGAGGGCGCATCCAAAAACTTTGCTGGTGTCATCTCCAGTACTACCCCATCCATTACAACAATAAAACTGACCGAATCTGCTACTTACAAGACCTGGTCTACCTCAGTTAAGATCTGGTTTACTGGTCAGGAGTACGGTCAACATCTCACAACTAAGTCTGCCGATATTTCAAAGGATCAGACATCTGAATGGGACAAGATTGATGCTCAACTGGTAAGTATCCTTTGGCAGTCCATTGATCCGACAATTATAGACATTTTCATCTCCTTTGAGACCTGCTATGACGTATGGGAGGAAGCTAAAATCCTTTACACCAATGACATTCAGCAGCTTTATTCAATTGTGTCTCAGATAATGGAATTGCGCAAATCTCCAGAGTCTCGAATGGAAACTTATATTGGTAAGATTCGTTCTTTTATGCAAGAATTCTTAGCTATGTTACCTCATGCTGCAGATGCCTCTGCGTACAATAAGCAGGTGGAGCGCTTCTTTATAGTCGTAACCCTCTCCGGTCTTTCTGAGGAGTTAGAAAGTGTTCGTGAGAATATTCTAACCAGTGCTGAGACTCCTAGCCTGTCACACGCTTTCCAGCGCCTTCTGAATCTTAAGGATAAATCAACAGAAAAACATGTGCCAGCTACCGATTCCACTGCATTCTTTTCTCGTTCCAATGATTCCAATTGGAACAGTGAACGTGGATGTGGCCGTGGACAGGGTGGCCGCGGACAGAGGCCTCGTTGCAATTATTGCCAGAATCTTGGACATTTTGAAGAACGCTGCTACAGGAAGTACCCTCACTTGAAACCACCGACTGCCAACTTTGCTCAAACTGATGTTACACCACTTTCTACTGGATCAGTAACTCTTTCAAGTGCCGACTATGAGGCACTTCTCAAGAAGGTTTCCTCTCAGCATCTTACTCAAGACACTGGTAATCATGTTGCTTGCCTTTTTCAATCATCTCTTGGGCCCTGGATAATAGATTCAGGTGCTACTCATCACCTTTGTGGTAATAAGGATCTTTTCACTTCACTTTTTTATTCTAATAACTTACCCTCTGTTACTCTTGCTGATGGCACTAAGGCTCCTGTTCGTGGAATTGGGGAAGCCAACCCAACTCCCTTTTTAGCTTTGAACTCTGTTTATTATATACCTGGCATTGCTTTTAAATTAATCTTTGTTAGCCAGTTGATTCATTCTCTTTCATGTACCGTTACCTTCTCTAAACAATCCTTTTCTATGCAGGATCCGCGTATGGGGAAGACGATTGGAGCGGGCATTGAGTCACGAGGTCTCTACTATCTGATTGCACCACCTTCTCCAGTAGTATGTTCTCTCACAGAGTCTCCTGAGCTAATTCACAGTCGTCTGGGTCATCCAAGCCTCTCCAAGCTTCAGCATATGGTTCCTTTTTTATCCAGGCTTAAGTCTTTAAATTGTCAGTCTTGTCAGCAAGGAAAGCACACTCACTCCTCCTTTGTTATTAGAGTCAACAAAAGAGCTGATGCTCCCTTTTCTATTGTTCATTCTGACATTTGGGGCCCGAGTCAAACAATGTTTGTTTTGGGTTTTCAGTATTTTGTCACCTTTATTGATGATTTCTCTCGTTGTACTTGGGTTTATTTAATGAAAAATCGATCTGAATTATTTTTAATTTATCAAAAAATTTGTGCTGAAATAAATACTCAATTTGGTGCTTCTATTCAAATCTTGCACAGTGATAATGCAAAAGAATATGTGTCTCTTGAATTTTCTAATTTTTTGGAGAAACGTGGGACGTTACACCAGACCACTTGCCCACACACTCCACAACAAAATGGAGTGCCCGAACGTAAAAATAGACATCTGGTTGAAACTGCACGTACCCTACTAATTCATATGAATGTTCCACTCTGTTTTTGGGCAGATGCTATAATCACCTCTTGCTTTCTCATCAATCGCATGCCCTCTTCCGTACTTAATAATGAAGTTCCATATAGTGTTTTATTCCCAGGAGCACCTTCCTATCCTCTACCTCCACATGTATTTGGAAGTACCTGCTTTGTTCATGACCTTACTCCAGGAAAAGATAAGTTAACATCCAAAGCTTTCAAGTGTGTTTTCCTTGGATATACTCGTTTTCAAAGGGGTATCGTTGCTACTCTCCTGATCTCAAGCATTATATTGTTTCGGCTGATGTCACTTTCCTTAATCAACATTCTTTTCAGTCTATCCCGTCTCAGATAACACAAGTTGATCATGTTCTTCATGTTCCTTGTCTTGCTTTGTCTTTACCAGTTGCAGGTGACTCTATCCCGGAGGAGCTACCCTTTGCCTCCATCCCTGAGGACCGTCCTTTTCTCACCTATCAGCATCGTCAGCCTGCGCCTCCAGCGGATTTGACCCTTATTGACTCACCGCCTCCTCCGGTCGACTCTTCCCCTCCGAGTCCTCCATCAGAGATTACTCCCATTGCCCTTCGCAAATGTATTCGATCCACTCGCAACTCTCGTCCACTTTATAGTTTCTTGAGTTATGATAGACTTTCTTCACCACATTTTACTTTTGTTTCTAGTATTTCGTCTATTTCTATTTCCAAAACCACAGGGGAAGCACTATCTCATCCGGGTTGGCGTCAGGAGATGATTGATGAAATGCAAGCACTTCACTCCAATGGTACATGGGATCTTGTTCATGCTCCTCCCGGAAAGTCAGTAGTCGGTTGTCGATGGGTATCCACTGTCAAAGTTGGTCTTGATGGCACTGTTGACCGCCTCAAAGCTCGTTTGGTGGCCAAGGGATACACTCAGATATTTGGTCTTGATTATGGGGTACTTTTTCTCCTGTTGCCAAGATGGCATCTGTTCGCCTATTTCTTGCACTTGCTGCCATTCATCAATGGCCCCTTCTACAGCTTGATATCAAAAATGCATTCTTACATGGTATCAGAGCCTCATTACCCGGGTTCGATCCTCACTGCCCCCCACTTTCTCTATAGTGGAATTTCTTTCTTCGCACAGGTAGGTGAGCCTGTGCATTGTCTACTTTTCAAGCCCAGTGGGCTCTCGTGTGAGGGGGCGTGTTGAGATATATAAAATCATTAATGTAGCCTCACCCAACAGCTTAAGCTTTTGGGTTGAATTGGTTCTTTACATGTTTGAAAAAGCTGAAAGGCTGGCAAATTAGCAATTGGTTGTGTTTGGCAATTAACTGATAATTAACAATGTTTTTTTCATTTTTACCCACCAGTGGTTGGTCTTAGTGGAAGTAGATTGCGACCCTTCTTCCCTGCATTGTCATGGGTTAGAACCCTAAAATTGCTACTTTGGAAAGGGCTTTACCTAACTGCCACATTCGGCCTGGAATTGTGCAAATGCTTATAAAATGTATATAAAAATTATTCATGTGTCTTTACTCAATGACTTGAGCTACTGGGATAGTAAATTTTTGACAATTGTATCAAAGCTTCGTTGACCATGTGGTCTACAGCTCAATCCATGTTATTGTCCTTGCTTTTAAATAAAAAGTTAAATTTCAACACAAGTTAGGGTGTCCATATGCATAGCGCATGCTGCCATCATAAAGGGCTCTTGTATGAGGAGATGTGTCAAATATAAAACAATTCATGTGCTTTGACCCAATAACTTTAGCTTTTCAGATAGCTGGGCTAATAAAGAAAATAAAATCCTTCTGTGTGGCTTACCTGCACTCCCCTGCTCCCTCTTGTTTTCCTTAACTTTATGTTTTGGGGAGAGGGTTTTGGAGGTTGGAGGAATTGTCTTATAGTACTATATTTTTGAAATGGACTTCTAATTTTATATCATTGCTTGACAGGCAATGACAAGACAGGTTGCATGGTTGAAGGTCAAACATTTACAATTGGTAAGTGCATTGTTAATATGCTACCTTTTCTGTGCCATACTGCTTAGCATATTGCTTTGTGGTGTATCTAGAACATTCATCGGAGTGGTGGCTTCCCCACCATCTATGTAGTAATTTAAATTGTCTCCTTGTTTTGGATAACGAGGGAAGTTTCCTTCGGTATTGCACCTAGTTTTCGGTGTGATGGTACCTTTGGCTAGAAAGACACGCTAGGTTTAAAGTTTTGAGAATGAACTGTATTATGCACATAATTAGTGTGTGGAGGAGGGTATTTATATCCTCTGTACTATATTGCACTACGTTTTACAACTAGCCTAATTCACTGAACAAAAATACAGAGACCTGCACCCACTTTGGAAGTGGATTTTTATATGAGTTGATTGCTCTCTGTATTGGTCAAGCTGGGTATTTAGTCTTGAAATTGAATGATCCCTTAAAATTCTACTTAAAATGCAGAGCCTATTCTTACTATGGGAAGCATTGATTCCATTACTTGGCAAGACAACTGGACAACGTTAACAGCTGATGGTAGTCCAGCTGCACAGTTTGAACATACCATTTTGATAACTAGGACTGGAGCCGAAATTTTGACTACATGTTGATGTGGTATTTTTTATTTATTTTTTTTGAATCTATAATGATCATGCCATGAAATCTGAATAGTGTTCGTATCTGAGCTGAAAATATCTGCCTTCAATTTGCTTTTGGTGGATTCTGCACGGGCAGGTAAAGATTGCCTTGAGGAGCTATATACCATATTCTCTTGTGCACAGAATTTATGTGAAGGAACTCGAACCAGATATAGAAATGCACAGAGATTGAGCAATACGTGTTTCTATATCATCAAATACAAAGTTGCTACTAAACATCTTGTGGAAACTATTACAACAATGCATTCAGAGAGGCCTGCTCGGATAATTGTCCAATTGAAAGCTGAATTGGTAGTCTAATTTAGGTTGTAAGTATAGTTTGGTTCTTGTTCTTTGGAATTGTCTAATTTGATACTTCGAAGTTATGGTAAAGAGTTAAGCTGAGATTTAAGAATTGATATAAAGTGGTGGAGATAAGCCATGGAAAATCTTGATAAAGTTGAACTGGATGACCTGTCTAAAGTTAAATTTAAGGTCGTGGACATAATGACTGTTGGAATCATTAAAAGCTCAATACACGGATAATCCCGGGCCCCAGCCAAAAGGAATATGCATGCTTGCCTAAAGAATATGTTGTTATTCTATTAACTTATCACATGGGATTAGGTTGGGAAAAGGTTCAATTGATTTCTATTTGAAGTTGCATCTCTTCGTTTAATGTTCATTAATGAGGTTGAAAAATAATTCCTATCTTTTATGATGTTTTGCACATTAGTTTAAGGGAAAAAGAAGTTTCATGTTATAGAAATTTTTTTATATCCTGTCATAAATACAACAAGTGTGGGACTATTTAAAAAGAAAAAGAAAAAGAGTGGCATATTTTTTTATGGTGTTTGCTAGAAGCAATGTTTTAAAACTTGAATCGTCATCGATTCGATCAAGATATTGGGTTACTGAGTTAGTGGTTCAATTAGATTTTAAAAAATTATGAATATTATGTCTAACAAATAAAAGTGATCTTGTAGTAAACCTTTCAATCCTCAAACAAGGAGGATTTAAGTTGGAATTCTGTTGCTTGTACATAATTTAACATAAAATCACTCGGTGGTAGAAGGGTTTGTTTTTCCCGTGGTGTCTTTTAATTCCTAGGGAGACAAAAAATAAAAAAATGGGAGGAAGTGCCGTGTGATGTTTTATGTATGAAATTATATATATTATATAAAGAGTAGCAGCCCCTCAGAAGAACAAAGAAATTTTCGCTAATCGTGTCATGTGTCCTGATAATTTTATTTTAAATTGACTAGTAGATGCATCCACGTGCACATATATAATCTAGTTTTATTGGAATCTTGAATAAAGCCTTACTCAGATGCCTACTTTTTATTTATACATGAGAGACAACTAGACAAGGGAGCATGAAAAAAAAAAAATCATTAAAGATGGGGTAAAAAATAAAAATAAAGAAACAGAAGTTTCGATGTGGAAAAACTGAAAAAGAGAGCACTAGCAGTCCTCATTTGCTAACCTTACCGTCAACTTTCGTTTATAAAATGCATCCACGTGTTATAATACAAATATTCTACAATTTTTCCATTTATAAAGCTCCCTTAACAAACCATCCTTCTGCCAGTTTCTCAATTCACCATCCATCCATGGCCTCCATAAGTTCTCTGAAAATGACTTCTTCCCTCAGAATTTCCCACCCAAGATCTATCCCTATTAATCCTCAAACCCAAAACCATGTAGGTTCTAGTTTCTTTCAGTCCTTCCCAACCAAAAGTTTAAATTTCTCAACTACCCAGCATGTATCAACAACCAGAAGAAGTTCTTCCAAGAACATCACAACCACTGCATTCTTCTTCAATAACCCAAAGCAGCATCAAGATTCTTCAAAGCCAGGTAAGTGCTTCTCAGATCCCTTTGCTAGATAATTTAAACAAAACCCACTTTTCAATAAGCTTTCCTTCATGTCAAAAATTACAACTTTCCTCATAATATAGTAATTTAACCTCTTGAGTATAGCATTTTTTTAACCATATAGTTTGTAGAGCTAGCTTTCCTCATTCATTTATCTGTTTCATTTGTCTAGCCAAAGTTCAAGAACTCTCTGTCTATGAGATCAATGAAGGTGACAGAGGCAGTCCTGCATACCTTAGGCTAAGTCAAAAATCTGTCAACTCTCTTGGAGATTTAGTGCCATTCAGCAACAAGCTCTACTCTGGAAACTTAGAAAAGAGGTTAGGGATAACTTCAGGCTTATGTGTTCTCATACAGCATGTACCTGAGAAAAAGGGTGACAGATATGAGGCCATTTACAGCTTCTACTTTGGAGACTATGGTCACATATCAGTTCAAGGACCTTATCTGACATACCAAGACACATATCTGGCTGTAACTGGAGGCTCTGGGATCTTTGAAGGTGTGTATGGACAAGTGAAACTTCAGCAACTTGTATTCCCAGTCAAGTTGTTCTACACTTTCTACTTGAAGGGTATTCCTGATTTGCCACCTGAGCTACTAGGGAAGCCTGTTGAACCATCACCTAAAGTTGAGCCTTCTCCAGCTGCTAAGGCTACTGAGCCTAATGCCTCTTTACCAAACTTCACAAACTGATGCTGCAACTTTGCTTCCTTTCTGAAAGTTTTTTAGTTTTTGAACTCAAAATAAACAAACTCTGGTTGTTTGCCTATTTGCTATATTATTCAATCTTCTTTTGCTTGTGCTGGACTAGAAGTGAATTGGAATTACATTTTGTGCTTCTGGAGAATCAATTTCACACCACTTTTTCTTTAGCTGATTCTAGATCTAATATGGGGAACACATCTGAGCAGATCATTGATTTTTCAAACCTGAATATGATTAAATTAATCAAATGCTTCATTTGTCTTCATATGGCCCTCGTGGGATGAACTTATTTATGCATATTATTGGAATAAAAAAACATTTCACTCTTTAGTTGATAGCTACTGTAAATGCTAGAAAAAAAATATATATATATCTCATTCAAGTGTGTAGGTCATATTGACAGATTTAAAAACCATTTTATAGTTTGATTAAGAGTAACTTGATCTTACAAGAAGTTGAGCCGCCACCTATTTTATATGGACATTCATGCTGTTACAAATTGTATATTATTTAAAGCATATCCAATAGATCTATAAATGATCAATAGAAGCTTAAACTCGGCACCGATTTTTTATGTTTCTTTTTTACCGGTGGTGATTGTCATTACTAGGAGTTAGTCTAAGTGGTTTTTATTATACGGAGCATTTTTTTTTCCCACTGAATTTTAAGTTATGCATGATAACTATGTTGTTCTCTGATTTTAGAAAACAAAATATTTTTTTATTTATGTGCTTAGAAAGAACTTTTGGATGAAAATAACCGTGTTTGATAACACAATTTATTTCTATTCCCACAAAGAGAGAACATATATTTAATAAATAGTATATATTTTATCCTAATAACACGTTATTTCTATTCATTTGTATTCCTAGTTAACTGGTTGATTCTTTGAAATAGAAAAATAAATTAATTTTATCAATTTTTTCCCTTGATTAAAAATAAAAAAAAATTGAGAACAATGACATGCATATCCTAACTAAATTGATAAGAGCTTGTTCGGATGTATTTTTGAAAAACAAAATTATTTATTAATTTTTAATTATCCTTTATAAAAATTTCGAGCTATTTTAAGTTTGGATTAATATTTAAAAAATATTTTTATGTAAAAAAATATTTATTTTAACTTTTTCTGGCTTTTTTTTATTAAAAAAAATTTGGTATACGCATGTAAAGCTGAGAGGCAATTTTTTTAGAAAAGAAAAAAGAAAACTTTTTTAAAAATAGTCCGTTCAAACGGGCCTAAGAAGTCTAGGGCCAAGTCTTATATTTGTCCTCTAGGCCCAGATGTTGAGCCAGTCTCACGACCAAGTCACCAATAACCCTATTGCAGCAATACAATACTTAAATGTCCACTCTTGTCCAATGATAAGCATCAGCTCCACCATCGTTGTTCCAATGTATCATGTATGCCTTAACTCTTTGTGATTATTACAGCGCAATAATTTTTTATTCTAACTATTGAAAACTATAATTAATTCAAGGGGAAAGTATTTTTCATATTGTATGAGATAATTTAACTTATGTAATACACAAAAAAGTGAATGGAACTCACTTTTTTACTTTTTCTCTTTTCTTTTTAACGGGTCTCATGTATTTTTTTTTTCATGAAAAACATGTTTTCCTTAATTCAATTAGTTTGGTTAAAAAATAAAAAAAACCTATATTCCTTTTGCACTAAGACAAAGCCTATATTATATTTTGTTGGCATGCAAATTCGAAATTAAAACTTCTTAGCATTCACCATTAATGATGTGAATGGGTCAAACCGAATCGAATTTTTTGAAAAATCGAACCGAATTAGTTTAAATGGTTCGGTTCGGTTCAAAACTGGTTCGATTCAGAAGTGGTTCAGTTCGGTTGGAATCGGTTCGGGTCGACCCTATTTTGAAAGACAAAAAAATTAAAATAATTAAAAAATAAAGTTAATAAAAATCAATTTGGTTCGATTCGGTTTGAAAACGGTTCGGTTCTTAAACCGGTTCGAGTCATGAACTGGTTTTTAAAAACCAATTATTTTAAGTGCAGTTCAGTTTGATTTATGATTCGGTTTAATTTTTTGGTTATTTTGCACATCCTTAATCACCATTAACTCACTTTTAATGACATTATTGTCTAATCGAGGAGCTCATTTTTTGCAGTCCCGACCCTTGTGGGACTTGTCCAAAAATAAAAAACAAAAAAGACTGAGAAAGAATTTTAAAGAAAGATAAGGGTATAAGTAGAAGAGAATTTTTCTTTTTTGAAAAAAAGACCATCCAATAAATGATGGACTGGGTCCATTTTAAAAAAATCCCTAATCGAGATCGACATTAATATAGGTTTTCATAGAAATTGTCACATCAGAAAATTGACTATCACATCAATATATGCACTAACATCCTAACAAATTGTGGTCTTTTTTGCCATAGGTTTTAAAGCTTCCAAAAATAATTTTACCAGCAAATCAATTGTTATATTAATTAACTAATTAAAATTGTTTAATAAGAGTTTCAGAAATTTTTTTATTTTGGTATATCCAACGGCTCATTGGTTATCTGATTATTATTATTTTTAATCGCGATTCCCAATTTCTCTATTTCTTCACAAATATCCTTTTTATTTAATTTTTAATTTTTTTCCTTTTCCCTCCTGAAAATGCATACAATAAGTCTTTAAATTCCAATCCTTTAAATAGATGCTTTAGCTTTCGTAGCATGCCCCATCTATCATAGGCATATATACACCCAAACCAGCATTGTAGTCGTAGGTCCATACATAGAGACCATGTTCACAATTATGGTTCTCCCAATCTTTTAAGTCATAAATGCTTCTTTAAAAGTAAGATTATTGTTAGAATATTAGGATTATTCATGTTTTAAAAATCTATTTATGTTAGTGATTTTATTGGGTTGGACTTGTATTATTTATATACATTGCATCATTACTTCATCGTTGATCCTTGACCATTTTAAGGGCCAACTTGTTTTATTTTCTAGGTACTTGTCATGCTAAGCCTCTCCCAAAATTATTAAAATCGGCATGTTCCTTAATTCGGTCCAGGACTGAATTATTAAATCAAATCATATAATTCGGTGATTATATATAAATTTATAAATTATATTAAAAAAATTATAAATATATTCAAATAACAAAAAAAATAATATAAATTCTAAATATTTTAATATAGAAAAAAATTAATTACACATTATTATTCAATAAAGGATCAAACAAATATATAATGCTTGTGATACTGGTATTTCAAGTTTAGTAAATGATATCTCTAATTATAAATCAAATTAAAATTCTCAACATAGTGCATAACTATGACAATATTAATATTGTAAATATATAATATATATAATTCAATAAGCAATGAATCACTTAAATATATACATTATAATTTATTTATCTTTTGAAAAAAAAATTAAATAAACCGATCCGAGTCATCTATTAACCGATTGGGTCGATAATTTCTATCAAAATCGACTGGGTCATACTAGATTCAATGCACGACTGATCCACTAATCCATCCAAATCAATTATATAACTATTTCGCTATCGACCTGGCCGCGCTGGTAACAATGAGGGAACAGTGACCATTTTGTCACGTCTGACAAAAAAATTTATCAGACTGCCAAGCTAACAGTAAATTTTGCCAAAATGCCACGCGGCATACTTCGCTACACTGTGTAGCGAAATATGCCATGTCAGACTGTACAGTCAGCAAAAATGACACGTGTCAAGCAAGCAGAATTCAAGCATAATTCGCTATACAGTGTAGCGAATTTCTACCTGCTTGACACGTGTCATTTTTGCTGACTATGCAGCCTGACATGGCATATTTCGCTACACAGTGTAGCGAATTATATGCAAACATATTTCGCTATATAGTGTAGCGAAATATGCCGCGTGACATTTTGATAAAATTTACTATTAACGTGACAATCTGGTAATTTTTTTTTGCCAAATATGTCAAAATATGATTTTTAGGTTTCTTTTTTGGCACAAGAACCTAGGGTTTCAAACTAAAGGACCGTATTTTTCTACCTCATGGGTCAGCACAAAATTGCGAATTGGGTCTTTGTAGATGGATAGATTCCTGTGACATTCAAGTGGGCCCACCTCTTAGAAGTGTAGCTCTGCTATTGGTTAACCGATCATTTAAAATAGAGTTTGGCGTTTATCATTTTGAATAAGATTAATTATGTCATTTTAGAAAAAAGATAAATACAAAAAATAAAAAATTATGGATAAAAGAAAATGAATGGTTTTTTTAATTTAAATTTTAAATAAAAAAAATTATTTTATGTCTATCTCTATCTTAAAATGACATAATTTTATATCATTTAAAATAACAAACATTTTTTTTCTTCAAAATAATATCAAATTGTTACCTTGATTTTTTATTATTATTATTATTTTTGCTGTTAATATTGTCTATACGATGGAATTATTCAAGCAGCACCACCAATTAATGGAAGAAACTACGAAATTAAAGAGCAAGGAAAAACAATGTGTCTGTAGATGAACAAGAATTTGGGTTTGAGTTTGCCCGCTAAGTTTTAAAGTGAAATGGGTCATTTTAATATAAAATTTTAATTATTGCAATTCAATTAATTTATTTAAAAAAATATTATTTCTCATGTTGTATGAAATAATTTATCTCATGCAACATATAAAGAAATGATGTGATCTGCTTTTTTTTTTCCCTCTTTTTCTTAATAAGTTTCCTCCATATTTTTATATAGGGAAATAGAAGTATAATGTTGTAGGAAAATGTTTAGGTAATGTTATAGAGATAGAGATGGTGGGACCCACACTTGTTTATTTTTTTGGTTTTTGAAAACAAGCGTGGGTCCCACCATCTCTATCTCTATAACATTACCTAAACATTTTCCTACAACATTATACTTCTTTTTTCCTTTTATATATTGCATAAGATAAATTATTTATGTATTATGGTAAATAAAATTCCCTTTATTTAATATGCTGAATGAATTGCTTTGATTTAAATCTTCAAAGTGATCATTATTACTGCGAAGTACCAATGCTGAATGAATTGGTTTGATTTGTAGGGCTTTTCGGCGCCTAATGTGTATATGTTCTTCTTCTTTTTCTTTCCGTAAATAATGGGGCAATGTTCGTTTATCACCAAAAAATTTTTTATCACTTTTACAACTAATTTAATCATTGTTGATTTTAATCAATCT